AGAATATTCTTCAATATTGAAGAATATTCTCCAATATTGGAGAATATTCTTCAATATTGGAGAAGATTCTCCAATATTATTCTTCAATATTGAAGAATATTCTCCAATATTGAAGAAGAATATTCTCCAATATTGAAGAATATTCTTCAATATTGAAGAATATTCTTCAATATTGAAGAATATTCTTCAATATTGAAGATTACTATTAAACATTCCTAAATATTCTTCAATATTAATCCTCTAAACTATATTTTTATATTTATCAAATATTTTAATACTATTGATTTCAATATTCATTTCTAATATTATAAATATATTATTCATGTTTTTCACAACTATTCTTTAATATTCATGTATGGGTAAATATAATAATTATATTTGACAAATGGAATATTCTTTTTCGGAATACAGATTCTCCGAAACGTCTTCAGTGTCTTTCAAATTGCTTTCAAATTTTCACACAACGTTCAATTTCAATCCAACCAGGTTTATATATAATCTACACACGTACATGTCAACAAAACAAAAGAGGTTGTTAAAAACAACCTTCAATTCAACTATGTTTATTGATTAATATTAAATACAACTCAAAGGGATACAGTAGTTTAGGGTATTTCTACTCACCTCTAATTGCAGAACCTCAAGGGGGCGCACACATTCAGTGACTACAAATTCACAATACAAAATTCCTCTTTAATATAGTAAGCACAGCATATAAATGTTACAATCTTGGGGCAATATTCTTGTAACTCCCAGGTATACTGTCTATCATAATGATATCACACATCAAAACAATTTCAAGTGGTACTTTACTTCTTGATTACTATACAAACTTTCAGTTCTTGACACTCAAAAGAACATTATGTATTAAACTTAAGTATGTTATTTGTTAAGTTAACTCAAATAACATTAACAAAAATCACGAGTACCTTAGGGTATTTCTACCCCTTCCCGGCGCACATATTCAATTAGTACAAATACAACAATCCCATTTAACATTTCACGTTAATATACTGTTAGATACTACTATATTAGTGTACTTCAACCACACTAAATTTTAACACATTAACGCTCAAACATAACATTCTCACTCTACTTTCTTCAATTATTCATAATAAAACTATGCCCTGTCCGTCACATTCCGTGAGATACGATATTTTCCCACACAGACTCTCCCAACACACTAACTATTGTCAAAATGACGAAAAAGCAAAAATGTTACAAACATCAAAGGTATTATTCATAGAAAATATATTGTATTTCTCTATACCGTTTTACTTTAACATTTGTCAATACAGAACATTGAACGCTAACAATATTAGAAAGTTATTTTTCTGAGGTTGGAACAAAACGGCCTCAGATTGGGGACTTTTTTCTTTTATATTGGTAAATAATATTATTTTAGTATTATTAACAATTTTTATTATTAATAGTATAATGAGCTATTCTTTTTCATGATTCAAATAGCTATTTACATGATAAATAATTATTGACTAGTGCTTAACAAAAGTATTAAGCAATAATTATAATGAATTATAATTATACTCTACAATTCAATTACAATTAATAACTAAATCTCTAACTACTATATGAAAATTGCATTATTTTCAATACACTCATTACAATTCATGCGAATATTTCTTAGTTATCTGCAGCCTTATCAATTTGGGGGTTCCGGCAGAGCACCCCGAAGGGCGAACGCCGCCACTGCCCGCTGTAACTACGAATGTGTGTCGACCTCATGGGCGCAGTAGTCTTGCCCTCGGGCTCCATCCATTTTCCTTGTTCATCAATGGTGTACCTCGTGCTCCTTCCGTACTCCGTTCTGCAAGTATTAAGGCAGTAAGGGTGGGCAGAAACGGCCATGCAGTATGAACGTGACGGCCAACAAACCTACCCCTTAACGGTACTGCTGGAATTAATTTCTAAGACGAGAGGGACATTTCCGGAACCGAACTGGGCAACTGTCAGTAATGGATAAACCCAAGGTGATACCCTGTGGCAAAACTCTGAAAAGGAACACTGGCACAGGGGAAACGAGTGACTAGAGGGGAAAGGAAGAGAAAAACATCTTCCAGGAAACTAGTCGGTAGCGAAGTAAGCTAACTACCAACCCAAGCAGAACTTTAGCGGGAAAAAAGACAAGACAACTAGGTTGGGGGGGGGGGGGGGGGTTAGGGGGGGGGCAGTTAACGTATCTCAGTCAAGGGCACAAGTTAATCAAGGGGGAGGGATCTAGCAACCAATCATTCATTTCAAACTATTCCTATAGAATATTCTAAAACAACCAAACAATAACTATTTATATGACCACTATGTATATAATATTTCAATATATAATTAAAACCATTCAAATATAACAAACACGTCTTAAGCCGCAACTGCAACATGCTTCCGTCCAGTGACAAATTATAAGGATGCTAACCGAGTCCCTTACAATGGAGATGACTATGTTGCCCTCAAAAAGCATGTTACACCTCAATAGTTACCCTAAGAAACTCCCTTAAGAGCCGTAAATGAGTTTAGTCTCAGTGTCAATGAGCATCTGCGAGCACCAGTAACCAAAGAACTTAAAGATCTGGCCATCGGAGGCAAAGTGAAATGGACAACAGTAAGGCTACGGATCCGTATTTGTAAAACGTCTGCATAAACAAGCGGCCTGGAAGGCCCCATATTTATATGACCAATATAAATATAATACCTGAATAACATCGCCGGCTTAACTCATCACAGGAAGAACGTTGCCTCCAGAGCAGCCCCTGAACGCAGTCTGCTAAGACGGCAGTCGCTATGACAACCTTCCTCGCTACATTGGACAGACAAAAACGTCTGGATAAACCTGCGCCCTGGGAAGCAGCAGTATCTTCCGGCCTACACCGAGCAGACAACACGTCGGATAACCAGCGGCCTCGGACGCTACACATGTCTGGATAAACCACCACCCGGGACGCTGCACATTCTTTCGGGCTACACCGGCCAGACAAAACGACGGGAAACGTTTACTGGTACTGGTAAACGAAACTGGTACTGCCTACCTGTCAGTACTTAATGACAAAGTCAACAAAACAACTATGCGTGTAAAACGGTAACTAAAATGACATGCACTCAAGCAATGCATAACTAGCAATACATTGCTGAAGGAACTATTCATAATATGAGTCCAAGATAAACTTAAAGGGAGAGCCATGAGGCCCGAAGACAGTGTCTAGCACATCCTAGCTGACTTAACTTATGCTTAAACTTAAACGTGAAGTAAACAATCAAATGTAAAACCAGCAAAGAAACATGCAGCTTGACACTGCATAAATTTCATTAATAAATTAACGAAATTTATGGAAAATAAACGTCAATGAAAACTTAAAGCTAGGGACCGGAGGCCTGTGACACCAGCTAGCCTAACCTACCTGACTTTACCTATTAACTTAAAAGCGATAACCAAAATAATGATAAACAACTGTAAACCAGTAATAAATAAATACACATGCAGCAACACGCTGCATCATTTGCGGGAATACTTAGCTGATGTAACTACACGTAAATGCAGGCCCAGTAATCTTAAAGCAAGAGGCAAGGGGGGTGGGGGGGGGGGCCTTACTCCGCGCCTATCACAGCCTACCTCAGTTACTTGATAACTTAATGCCAAACAATAATTAAACAATCACAATTGCAAAACCAGTAACAGTAAATAACATGCAGCTTGACCCGCATACATTGCAGTCATAAATTCACGTCAATTAATGGGACGCAATACCAACATAATCTTAAAGTCAAAGGCATGAGTCTTGTAACCAAGGAACTACCACAACCTACGTTACTTTAGCTTCTTGTATTGAGGTATTAAATAAGTACAGTTTTATTAAGTTAATAAAACATGCTCCAGCCCATTCCATAAATTGTAATCATTTGAGAGAAACTATTCTTAGTTTCAAGCCCAAGGAAGGTAACAGCAAGAGACTTGGACCAGTGATGCGGGTCAAAGATAAATATATTGTGAGCCCTAACACATTGTAACAAAGACAATATACAATTTTATATAGCCACCGTTTAAACTAGGGTAAGTCAATTACTCAATGATCTAACACTAGTTTCACGTCTGCTTTATATTTATATCTATTACCAATTTATCTTCATTTCGGTAACGTTTCCCATATATTACAAACTTATTTCATTCCCTATAATGCAAAACTAATAACTATTTATATATACAAATACGTACATTGCGTTTGTTACAATACATAGCATGGTATTTACACTTAACGCCATTACTACGCGCACCCTTTCGGCCAGGTCCTTAATCTAAGATAAAATTAAGTAGCTAAATTCTAGCGGAAGTAATTCAATGATTGATACATTGCAACAAACAAAAAACTAAACGTGAGATTAGAAGGTACAGGTATATTAAACCACATTAATATACCAAACCTCAGATTGCATTGACAGCTTGATTGGTAATTTATACTAACATTAATAGGCACCATAAAGCAAATTGAAAGCACATAAGACAGCAATGATCACAATGGTCAAGTTTTTTTCCATTGGGGACACGATTACGAGATTGGGTACCACTACATACACTGCAATTTTAAAGCAACAATGTAGAAAACTATGAAAATGCAATTAGGTAATTTTTAGTTTCATTATTAGGTACCTAATTAGGAAAATTACTTTTACGATATTACGAGATTACACTAACAACAATATTAGCATTTTATGTACTTCTAGTTTAATTATTTATTTGATTCCCTACAACTATATTCCTTTATGATTCAACAATTCCCCCACAATATTTCTCTACATCAACTATATATTTCCCCTTGACCAAACAACATATTTACTGCCCTCAGGAGGGACTCGCCTAGAAGGCGCGTCCTTACAATTTCTCTTTTATATATACTCCACATTAATAACCAATCAAAACCCGCTGGATATCTAATAACCATCAAATTAGATGCTCGACGATTCTGCACTATAAACATTTACAACATTTAATTCTTTCGTACCTTGTATGGAAGAGTAACTTGATCCTTCAACAGCTGGAGGTTGTGTCCCTAGAGTAACTACACACGATGGTATCAACGTCATCCACGTCGAGGGTGCTCAAACGTCTCACCTGCGAAACTATATTGTATTCAGGATTCTGAACATTCATATACGATAAACATTCCTTATCACGATTACTATCTCAAATACACGGCCATGCACCGTTCCGAAAACACAGCTTGGCAGGGAGGGGGGGGGGGGGGGGGGGCTCATGGGCCAATTTTAAGCTTAATCTATGAAACAAAGGCCAGTCCACCTTCGACAGTGGGGGGGCTGGTTCAACTAAGCTTAATCTCTTATCTGGGAGCTGCGATCTGTGAGCTGTTCTTCATGTGTGTATTTCACCATATAGATGAATACCGCGTAGCATTCATATACACACACACACACCCAAGCTTCCACGTTATGTTCACTTCCAGCATTTACTTTTATTATATAATAAACGTGTTCCGTCTAGTAAGGCTGGGTCTCATGACGTCTAATGCTCAAAGTACACCACATGATTATTTCAGGAATGATAATATATTTAGTAATAGTTGCGATTTCGGTGTTATGGACTACGTAACTAAATTCTTGGAGGAATCTGTTGAAATGAACATATCACACACCTGCAGGTCACAGCCTCTTCCATTACTCTGCAGTGTGGCGTTGGTTGCCCTCCATCCATGATGCTTTCTTCACCATTGCTCTGTTTCGCCCAGCCAACACCTCTCCACACGCTCATCTGCATGAAATATAATGCGTAATATGCATCCATTTAACATTAATAAAAACATTTAAGCGATACAACAATCTATTTATGAATACTCTAGTCCAAAATCCTTACAACTTTCTTCCCTGCGAAATCATTTGCTCTAATATAATTGTATAATTCAACCTCTAACAATTTCTATATTACTTTCTGATGTCTTACATCTAAACGGAGTTAGACGTTGGTAAACTATAATACATCGCAAAACATGTCTCCCAGCTCTGACGAGAGCTATTTGTTTTTCCATACCATCAAAGCGCAGCCATGACAATACCCTTCCCCACACTCAAAACACCATGTCGGGTGTTTAGCTACAATCCGAAGCTAAACACGAGATTTACAATTATTCGGGTTTCGTGATCGCGCATAATCATCCTCCCTTCCCACAATCAGCGTCTTACAGTTCTGGCTAGACAACATTAACTGCCCAATAATTACCTACCAGTAGTAATTGGGGTAACTATATCACACAAATTGCCTGATAATGTTCGAGGAAAACGAGACTATGTTCCTAGTACACAATTCTCAATTAACACTACAAAATAAAGTCCACACCATATACTTCCTGCTACACAATGATAACCAACAGATCGTGGACCAATACCTCAACCTTAACTTACAAGTGACTTATTCTGACTTTTTCATTTTTGCCTCAACCTACACTACTGGTGGAGCGCACGCTATCCCGCTCACTACACAATTACACCAATATCAACAACATAACCACCAACTACACTCCCACGTGTACCGTCGCCAGCCACCTACAGTAAACAAGACATACTGTCACGAGGCTCACATCTGCAGTTTAATTTAATCAGCCATTGGTCGCAAGTCAGCCGGAACCTTAACATCACCTACACGTATAAATCATATTGTTCACCTTTCATAAAAAAAAATCTGTCCTACGAAGGAGGTCGCGCTTATTTCATGCTGTATATTAAACATTATAAACAATTTCACTTAATAATGGCAGTAACATTTGAATAATAACTAAATGTTTATTTTTATCACCTATGTACCTCAAACCCCTCGTCAATTTATGTCTACGTCCTTCGACGAGGACAGGAAGGCTACGTATTGTCAACGGTTCCCCCCTCATACGTAAAATTATGTACCCAGGTAACCAACACTAAAGTGTGGGGGGGGACAACAACACTTTAAAATTGGATAACACTACACGACAGCGACCAAAGCCTATCGACCAACTTATTCACTACTCTTAATCAGCAAAGTTACCCGAAGCAACACCACCATCCTCCTTCCACACTCAATTTCTATACTATTTTAACAACTTTTTACACCACTTAACATTATTTAACGTAACTCATAGCTTTTCATATTTAAAACAAAACTGATGGGGGTCCTGATAGGGCTGTAGTAATGACTGGTCAATCGAATTGCCCAAACTAGGCTCCAAATTAGGCTAATCCTAATACAATATTACTATGCCTAACTATTTACCTTGTGCCGGATAGGCCCATCATACCTTGGTAACTCAAGTAGCACAACTGCAACATCTGCCACCACCTTCTGCTCGCCACGGTATGACTCCAATCATCGGTCCTTCAAGACTCCTGGGGAAAAAAATACAATACAATGTTACAAATCAATACAGTACGTAAACATTTATTAAATATATTTTAGTACTAATTATGAGTCAGGACTAAAAATATCGCAGTATATATACCCCACAACAGGGGGTATATACGCCAGCTATAAAATAATAGAGATTTTTGCCCCTATGTGCGTTTGGACGGTGTACAGAGTGACAGTGTAACCTAGGGGTCTGTCAGCCCTAGCGACCCCAAAGGGTAACGGGGTACCAGCTCAGAGTAACAAAACGCCCTAACACTAACTTGTACACCTCTACTCGGCTAATTCTAGGGGCAAAATAACGTTCCGTTGCGCCTCAATGAGCAGGTGGACTCAATAGCCAATCACGTTTCTAATTTCAGTTGACGTCACATTGTCGCAAGCTGTACTGTCATTGGTCGCCTCGACGTAATTGGATACCTTAGTAGTTAATGAGATTTATTTTTTGAAACTGAAATATATCAACTCAAATGTATACCCAAAGTCTGAGAAACATACATGTACCAAATGGATGAGAAATTATTAATTTTTATCCATTTTACCTACTTAAAATTATTTGTTAGATTAAGGACCTGCCCGAAACGCTGCGCGTACTACTGGCTTTACAAGAGTGTAATTACTGTACTATGCTATGTATTCTCACAAACCCAATGTACCTTCCTGTATATAAATATTTATATAAATAAATATTTTTAATGTTTTACATTACACTCAAAATTGATGATTTTCGATTACTTATTATTATTTAAGTATTATTATAATTATTAAATAATAAGATTACTTATTCAAGCTGTATGTACAGTACAACACAGTACAGCATAGTACAGTACCGTACAGTACAGTTCCGTACGCTACGATGCACTACAGTATACTATACTGTATACATTACAATACACTACAGTACCGTAAAGTACCGTACGATACAGTACACTCAAGGGCACAGTACTGTACACTACAATAGAGAACACTACAGTACTGTACAGTACACTACAGTACAAGGTACAGTACCGTGGAGTTCTGGGGCCAGATTCACGAAAGCACTTACTCAAGCACTTACGAACGTGTACATCTTTCCTCAATCTTTGACGGCTTTGGTTACATTTATTAAACAGTTTACCGGCATGAAAACTTGCCAATCAACTGTTGTTAATGTTATAAACAGCCTCCTGGTGCTTCGGAGCTCATTAACTGTTTAACGGTTGTAAACAAAGCCGCCAAAGATTGAGAAAAGATGTACAGGTTCGTAAGTACTTGCGTAACTGCTTCGTGAATCTGACCCCAGGCCTCGCCACTGGAGGGGGGGGGGGTAGTCGTCGCCACGTCTCGCGTTCCCAGTAGTTCATTTGCATAGAGTGTTTACACAGATTAAGTTTAACTCTGGGGATATCAAAGAGATATTTATTTCTGGTGTGGTGATAATGGGTCCTATTACATCTGTCCAAGAAGAGTTTCAGACAAGGATTTGCATTTAAGAACAGGGTTTTGTAAATCTACTTGACACAAGAGATTTTGTGGAGTGAGATTATGTTTAGCATGTTTAGGGAGTTAAACAAGGGGCCTGAGTGTTGTCTGAAAGCAGAATTTGATATTATTCTGATAGCAGATTTTTGCTCGGTGATGATGGACTTGAGGTGGTTTGCAGTGGTTGAACCCCATGCACAGATACCATAGTTGAGATAGGGATAGATTAGTGCATAATATAGAGAGATGAGAGCAGAGTTAGGAACATAATATCTGATTTTGGAGAGTATACCCACTGTTTTACAGACTTTCTTAGTTATGTGTTGTATGTGGGTACTGAAGTTGAGTCTCTTGTCTAGGAATATGCCAAGAAACTTTCCATCATTTTTAGTGCTAATGTTTACATTGTCAATCTGAAGTTGAATTGTACTATTGTTGAATTAATAGACTTCTGGTCCTTCGAAACATTTAATATAATTTCATTGTAGAACTAGATTCTCCCTCCCCCCCCCCCCCCACTGTTGCTGCTGCTGCTTGCTGCTGATGCTGCTGTTGTTGGGTGGGGGGTTGTCTGTGGTTGGGTGGGTGGGGGGGGGGGGGTCTGTGTCTGTGGCTGGGTGGGGGGGGGGGGTGTCTGTGGCTGGGTGGGTGGGGGGGGGGTGTCTGTGGCTGGCTGGCTGGGGGGGGGGTTGTCTGTGGCTGGCTAGGTGGGGGGGGGGTTGTCTGTGGCTGGCTGGGTGGGGGGGGGTTGTCTGTGGCTGGCTGGGTGGGGGGGGGGTTGTCTGTGGCTGGCTGGGTGGGGGGGGTTGTCTGTGGCTGGCTGAGTGGGGGGGTTGTCTATGGCTGGCTGGGGGGGGGGTTGTCTATGGCTGGGGGGTGGGGTTGTCTATGGCTGAGTGGGGGGGTTGTCTATGGCTGAGTGGGGGGGTTGTCTATGGCTGAGTGGGGGGGTTGTCTATGGCTGAGTGGGGGGGTTGTCTATGGCTGAGTGGGGGGGTTGTCTATGGCTGAGTGGGGGGGTTGTCTATGGCTGAGTGGGGGGGGTATTCTGTACTCACCTAGTTGTGCTTGCGGGGGTTGAGCTCTGACTCTTTGGTCCCGCCTCTCAACTGTCAATCAACTGGTGCACAGGTTCCTGAGCCTATTGGGCTCTGATCATATCTACACTTGAAACTGTGTATGGAGTCAGCCTCCACCACATCACTTCCTAATGCATTCCATTTGTTAACTACTCTGACACTAAAAAAATTCTTTCTAATATCTCTGTGGCTCATTTGGGCACTCAGTTTCCACCTGTGGCCCCTTGTGCGTGTTCCCCTTGTGTTAAATAGCCCGTCTTTATCTACCCTATCAATTCCTCTGAGAATCTTGTACGTGGTACGTGGGAAGACACGGCAAACCTCCAGTCAGATGTAGATCAGGTCTTTCTATGGGCTACAGAAAATAATATGGTGTTTAACGAAGATAAGTTCCAGCTCATGCGCTATGGAAAAAATGAAAATATAAAAACGGAAACCACGTACAAAACTCAGGCAAATCATAACATAGAACGAAAAGGCAATGTAAAGGATCTGGGTGTACTCATGTCGGAAGACCTTACCTTTAAAGAACACAATAAAGTAGCCGTCACAACTGCAAGAAAAATGACAGGTTGGATAACAAGAACTTTTCACACCAGAGATGCTATACCGATGATGACACTTTTCAAAACGCTTGTGCTCTCTAGAGTGGAGTACTGCTGCACAATGACAGCACCTTTCAAAGCTGGAGAAATTGCTGACCTGGAGAGCGTGCAGAGATCCTATACTGCTAGAATTCACTCAGTAAAACACCTAAACTATTGGGACCGACTAAAGAGCCTAAATCTGTACTCCCTTGAGCGCAGGCGGGAGAGATACATAATAATTTACACGTTGAAAATATTAGAGGGGCTGGTCCCAAACCTGCACACAGAAATAACATCACATGAGACCAGAAGGCATGGCAGGATGTGCAGAATACCCCCGTTGAAAAGCGGAGGTGCAACAGGTACTCTGAGAGAGAACTCTATCAACATCAGAGGCCACAGACTGTTCAACACGCTTCCGCTACACATAAGGGGCATAACTGGCAATCACCTCACAGTGTTCAAGAGACAACTGGATAAGCACCTCCAAAGGATACCTGATCAACAAGGCTGTGACTTATACGTCAGGCTGCGAGCAGCCGCGTCCAACAGCCTGGTTGATCAGTCCAGCAACCAGGAGGCCTGGTCGACGACCGGGCCGCGGGGACGCTAAGTCCCAGAAGCACCTCAAGGTAACCTCAAGGTGGTGATCATATCCCCTCCTAATTCTTCTGTCTTCTAGCGACGTGAGGTTTAATTCCTGTAGTCTCTCCTCGTAGCTCATACCTCTCAGTCCGGGTAGTAGTCTGGTGGCAAACCTTTGAACTTTTTGAACTCAAACTCTTTGAACTTTGAACCACAAACTCTGTGCCTGGGGGGGTTTGTCTGTGGCTGGGTGGGGGCGTTTCTGTTGCTGGGTCGGTGGTTGTCTGTGGCTGGATGAGGGGATTGTCTTTGGCTGGGTGGGGGGTTGTCTGTGGCTGGGGCGGAGTTGTCGGTGGCTGGGGGGGGGGGGAGGGGGGGGGGGGGGGGAGTTGTCGGTGGCTGGGGGGGGGGGGGGAGTTGTCGGTGGCTGTTGGATGGGGGTGTCTGTGGTTGGATGGGGTGGGGGGGGGTCTGTGGTTGGGGGGTCTGTGGTTGGATAGGGGGTCTGTGGTTGGGTGGGGGCTCTGTGGTTGGGTGGGGGGTGTCTGTGGTTTGGATGGTTGGGTTGTCTGTGGAATGGGGGTTGGGGTCTGTGGGGGGGGTTGTCTGTGGTTGGAATGGGGGTTGGGTTCTGTGGGAGGGTTTGCCTGACAAATTTATTATGCTTAATTTTCTCTGTATTTGTAATAATAATAATAATAATTATTATTATTATTAGATCTCATAATTAATATTAATATTACATTATTACATAATATTCAGCAACTTCTTAATGTTTATCAAGATGCGCACAACATGTACCGCGCCAATGGCGTCCACACGGGGGGAAAAAAAATATGTACCCCGTCGCCTACATTATTGGCGCCAAGACTTGTTACTTTAGAAAAAGAATACAAGTCCTAGTAACAGGGAGCTTAAATATACCAAGCGTAATATAACAGCAATAAAATATGATAGTTCTTCCTATTTTTAGCGAGTTTTTCTTTTTTGTTCCGTTTTCTATGATGCGACGTCTAATGTAGTCCAAACAGTTGGATTGTCACCCAGAGGTTGTCCTAGTAAATAACTTTTATTTGGCTTTTTGTCCCCTGTTACAACCGCTCTTGCGCTCTCTGCTGGTAATAGGACACTCTGGACATGTCTATTGGTCGCACATACTCCTGTCGTTACTTACAATTACTGTCAGTCATAATCTGGTCTTTTGCTAACCCGCTCAGGATAAACACCATGCGGGGGACGAGTTGTCTGGCTCCGGATTAAGTAGGTATGATAGTTGACGTGGGACACAACACAGGACGCGGAATGTTGGTCATGGACACGGGACGCGGAATGTTGGTCATGGACACGGGACGCGGAATGTTGGTCATGGACACGGGACGTGGAATGTTGGTCATGGACATGGGACGCGGAATGTTGGTCATGGACATGGGACGCGGAATGTTGGTCATGGACACGGGACGCGGAATGTTGGTCATGGACACGGGACGCGGAATGTTGGTCATGGACACGGGACGCGGAATGTTGGTCATGGACACGGGACGTGGAATGTTGGTCATGGACACGGGACGTGGAATGTTGGTCATGGACACGGGACGCGGAATGTTGGTCATGGACACGGGACG